AAAAGGAAAAAATAAAATCTTTAAAAAAAAAAAAAGCAAATTTGCTGTTATTTTATCTCAAAATGAGTTTATTCGGGAATAGCCAAAAGAATTGCAATTTGGGATGTGCGTGCTGTGGCAAACCAGAGGCAAATCCAGAAAACAAAGTAGGCGGGCTGCCTTTATAGAGAGAAAGGGGGAGTAGGGAGGGGCTGTTCTAATGGAAAGTCCATTGGAGGAAAGAGGCAGCAATGGCCTCCTATTGGCTGGGCTGTTGCCGGGTGGGGAGAGAAGTCTTCCTTCAGTAGTAGAGTAGTTTTGCTTCCTGTCTAAGATGCAATCACTTCTCTTCCTGTTTGGACTAATTGATGAGGTTTGAAAGGGCATGGGAACTCCCACTACAGGCCTTCCTGACTCCGATTTAGTTAAGGTTTCTTTTCTTAATTTCCACAGAGCAAAGCACGGTTTATTATAGCAATAGCTGTAGCCAGAGCACCAGCATTTTCTTGCAGTTAATCTCCAGCCCCATTTCCAAAGGGGGCCAGGGGATACCTGCACAGGCAGTGGGTTGTGTTAAGGAGAGGTGCCCCGAGCTTAAAGAAGCTGAATCTTATAATGGGCACTGCGTTTGCCCATCATTGTCTTTTGCTCTGAAGGGAGACATGTCAGGCCTTCCAAGGCTATTTGCTATAGAAACATCCCTGAAAAGGCAGTTCCAAATGGAGGTAGCCAGTGCCTCTGCTAGCGAGACATGCAGAAATGCAGCTACCCGTGCAGAATTGCCTCCCAATAGTATACTGCAAATTACCTGTAAAAAACATTACCAGTTTACACTCCCACCTGTCCTTGTAGGAGAGCGTGTCTGCTGAATTCTGTATGACATCGAAGGTTCAAATACAGCCTCCTCTTTTTTAAAGATTGGCACCTGAGCTAACAACTGTTGCCAATCTTTTTTTTTTCTGCTTTATCTCCTCAACAGCCCCCCCCCCACCCCCGTACATAGTTGTATATCTTAATTGCAGGTCCTTCTAGCTGTGGCATGTGGGATGCTGCCTCAACGTGGCCTGATGAGCAGTGCTATGTCTGCACTCAGCATCTGAACTGGCGAAACCCTGGGCCACCGATGCGGAGCGCACGAACTTAATCACTCAGGCCCGGGGCCAGTCCCCAGCCTCCTCTTTAACGATGACCTATGGTTCTGAAAATTACAGGAAAGTCACTACAACAGGTGTTAAAGATCTGCTGCTGGCCATTCATTCATGTACTTTATCGAGCACCTACTCAGTCTCAGGTGCTGGGGCTACAGCAGTGGAGACAGGTAGGCAGGATGATGTCGTTGGGGGCACGGGGAAGGAGTGGAGGTGCTCCTTTAAAAGTGGAGGGAGGGCACAGGGGAGGAAACAGCAGGTGCAAAGGCCCTGAGGGAGGAGTGGACTTTGCCAGGTAGGAGGTACCAAGAGGAGGCCAGCTTGGCTTCCTCGTGGGTCTCTTGTGAAGGTGGAATGAGGTGTGGACATCAGGCCATTGTAAATCAAGGGGCTCCATGGGCCGGCCCAGTGGCACAGTGGTTAAGTTCGCACCTTCCGCTTTGGCAGCCCGGTGTTCACCGGTTCGGATCCCGGGTGTGGACATGGCACTGCTTGTCAAGCCATGCTGTGGTAGGCGTCCCACATATAAAGTGGAAGAAGATGGGCACGGATGTTAGCTCAGGGCCAGTCTTCCTCAGCAAAAAGAGGAGGATTGGCAACAGATGCTTTCTCAGAGCTTATCTTCCTAAAAAAAAAAGGGGGGGGGGGCTCCAAACAGCTTGGGCAGACTGGTTGACCAGATCTCCCAGGGCTGGGGGAAGCCCAGGATTTCACCTGGCAGGGGAGATCCTCAGGAAGCAGTATTCAGGATGCATGTCAGGGCCGGCAGCCAGGGAGAGGCAAAGAGCCGGGAGGCTGGGGGGAGGAGAGGAAGGAGGAGCCACTTGAGAGGCCACTGCGCTGGGCCCGTGGGAGTCTCAGCCTCCATTTCCTGGCACTGAGGTTTTTCCATAAACACTCAAGTCCAGCTGGTCCCATCACGGGGCCCCTGGGACCCACAGCTCAGCAAGATGACATCTCAGTATCTTCCTGGTTTTCTCAATTCTGTTCTGAAGCTGGAGGATGAGGCAAGTCCCTGGAGAACATGGCAGGGGCAGGTCAGAAGGAGGCAGGGAGAGCAGGATCTGCACTCTTCCAGGGTACTGGGGCCACATGCCAGGCTTTCCACCTGAATGCAGGCCCCCAGGGGCCGGCAGCCCACCTCTGCCTCCAGAACTCAGAGTTCACTTCCTGGCTCTTCTGGCATTGGCTCACTCCTACTGGGTCACCGGGGCTGCTTCTGACCATGGCCTGGACTGAGGGTTGGGAAAACAGCGATGATGGGTTTGGGTCTAGCTCTGCCCATAGCTCGTTGAGTGATGACCTTGGGCCAGTCGCTCCCCTCTCTGGGCTGCAGTCTTCTTCTTGGACTAGACCAGTGGTTACCCAAATGTCAGCATATTTCACGGAATAACAGTGTTACACAAAACCAAAGTGTGGTTAAGTAATTTGGGGAAATTCTAAATGAATGGGGTCCCCTTGCCGCAGGATTATACAGAGCCTTTCCTGCTCATCGTAAGTCTCCCAGAGGGAACTGCAGCATGAAGCGTTTGCCAAGCTGACCTACCAGGGCACCCCTTTGTATGGGACTTCTCGCCATGGGCATTCTGAAGGACATGCCTCTGGGTGCGCTAGACCAGATGGTCTTCAGGGACATTCCTAGCTCTGTTCTGAGATTTGAAAAATGGAACCACCCATTGGCTGTCGTGGCAGGCAGCTTTGCAGATGACTTCCAGGATACTTGCCTCCTGGTGTTCCCGTCCTGCATAAGGCCTGCTGTATGCTGGACCTACTGATTGCTTCTAACAAACAGAGCACTGCAGAAGTGATGGGATGTCATCTGAGATTAGGTTATAAAAAGGCTGTAGCTTCCGTCCTTGGCACCCTCGCATGTTCTCTCTCATTCTCTCTCATGTGGCCACTGAATGCAATTATGGGAGAAAAGTGACAGAATGAGGGAGGTGTTAACATAGGGGGGACAAAGTGGGTGGAATGGTGAGTCCTGTGGAGTTGACTGTCCAGAGCATGCAGGGTGGGGATAGAGGGGGGACAGGCTGAGGCCTCCTGGGAGGGGCCCCATTGGGAGCCAAGGGGCCAGGCCAGAGCAGAGATCTGAGCCTAGATACCACACCAGAGCCAACTCCCCAGGGGTGAGAGGGCACACATGCCACCCCACCTTGCTAGTTAGTGTCCAGACTAGTGTCATGTCAGGACACCCAGGCAGCCTGTGGCCGGCAGCCCTGTGAGTGAACCCAGAAGCAGATGCTCCAGCCCCAGTTGAGCCTTGAGGTGACAGCAGCCCTGGCCAAGAGCTTGAGGGCAACCTCTTAAGAGGCCCTGGGCCAAAAGCACCAGCCCAGCTGCACCCACACGCCTGACCCACAAAAACTGTGAGATAATAAATGAAATGTTTGTTGTTTTAAACTGCTAAGTTTTGGGGTAATTTGTTATGCAGCAGTAGATAACTAGTAAAATTGTACAGTGTCTTCTACAACCAATGTGTGTGTGATTGTATTGGTATAACACTGATTGCATGTGTAATAGTGGAAACCTACTTGTCTTGTGACATGCCCGTGTGTCTCCCCTGTAACTGGGTGTCTAGTGTCCTCTGGTGGCCCCCAGGAGTTCTGGGGTGTAAGGAGGTAGCCCCGTAAGGTGATGTGCAGACAGGAGGTGGGCTTACAAGGCATTTGGACATAGGGGTGCTATACCCTTCCAAAAAGCAATCTGGACACTAACTAGCAAGGTGGGGTGGCATGTGTGCTCTCTCACCCCTGGGGAATTGGCTCTGGTATGGCATCTGGGCTCACATCTCTGCTCTGGCCTGACCCCTCGGCTCCCACTGGGGCCTCTCCCAGGCCTCAGCCTGTACCCCCCACTATCCCCACCCTGCATGCTCTGGGCAGCCAAGTCCACCCAGGACTCACCACTTTGTCCCTCCTACGTTGACACTTCTCTCATTCTGTCGTTTTTCTCCCATAACTGCATTCAGTGGCCACTCAAACGCCCCATTCTCTCCCATGCCTGTCTCAACCCCTGATACGCCCATTCAGGATGGGGCCCCTTCCCCTAGGGTGGGCAGAAGGTTCACACTGAGGGGCAGAGAGGGGTGAGCTCACTGCCAGTGTTCACGTGCTGTTGGCTACATGTGTAGGACACCTGGTATGCTGCCTAGAACACTCCAGCGGGGCACCCCAGCTAGTCACTCAATCAGTCACTTTCCTGACTGAAGGTATGTCTACAAGTTGGCTCTCCAGTGTGGAGGAAAGAGTTCAAGACCTTGGTCAGAACTGCTACTAATCTATCTATCTCTGCAATGTGGGGCTTGGGGAGAGCCAGGCAGCAGTGAGTCAGGTTGAGCACAGGCCAGAGACTGGGACCCTACCTGAGAAGCCAGCTCGGCTCTATAGCTCCCTGTGGGACCTGGGGTGGGTCTGAGGTGCCAGATTAATGCAAGATTTCCAAACATACCCTTTTCCAGGAGTAGAATTCTTATCAGATGGGGTACTAGAAGAGCCCAATAGCTAGCAGATAAGGGGAACTGCTGGTTGTGGGGGAGCATGGTGGGGGCAGGGCTGGAGGCCCTCTATTCCCTCCTGTGGGCTCCACTGTCCCCTCGCTTGACACCCCCACCCCTCACAGGCCCTCCTCCTGCCCAAGGCTGTGCATCCTCCACGCCCTCTCCAGGAACCAGTCAAGCTGAGCCCCGAGGCCCTTCCATCTCCAGCACCGCCCCCTAGGCCTTGCACAAGCATCAAGGCCTGAACAGGAGAAAACCAGATTCCAGTCCCAGCTAACAAGAGGCACAGCAAGTCACGGACTAGGTGCCCCTGTGCTCAGGCTGAGAACTTGGGGAGGAGACGAGAATTCACAAAGGCAGGCCAGGGGCTGCCATCATTTTGCAGTGAGAATGTTTATTGAGAATGGCTCATTACAAACAAAATATATTTATGTATAAAATCTCTGCAGTGCAAAAGATCCCTTTTGTCCCCATGTGGCTAGAGTGAACAAAGCCAGCTGTCCAGTGTGGTTTCGGGGGCTGCACTGGTCCCCCAGCATGTGGACAGGGGGTCACGGGTGCCACATGCTGTGGGCAGAAGTTCCTGACATCCGGGCTCCTTCTCCGGCCCCATTTTCATGACTTGTGCAAGGACACAACATAGTGTGGTTTGTGTTCTGCCTCCATGACCATCCCCAGGCAGATGGCACCATCTCGCTGGCAGGCAGCTTTCTTGTTCAGCTTCCAGACAGGTGACATCTAATTGTGGCTTGTCCTGAGAAGCCACCGTCTGAGCCCAGGGACTGAGCGTTTCTACATGTTACATGGTGGACCGAGGTGCTGTGACCACTCTTGGTGGAGGCTGTTCTCCATGACACCCCCATCAGCATGTGCACTGTGCCTCGCTCACATTCAGCCAGCCTGAAAGCTACACTTCCTCTCATTGTTTTCCTTGATACATCTGTTCTCACCAGGATTTTGTCCAGACCCCTTCTGACGATGCCCAGACCCCACAGCTGCCATGTGTGGTACTCCTGAGCATAGAACCAGAGCTCCCTGGGGTCTTGGGCTACCTAGCATTAAGGCAACAGAGATGAGACCAGTCTAAAGGCAACACTAGTCTCTGAAACTGGGGGGCTGCCCAGCTCACAGCGCCTCCCTCTTGGCCAAAGGCTGTGCCTGGCGTTGAGGAGCAATATGACTGGTGGTCTGACAGCCCTTGTAAGCAGAGCCCTCCTCTGCTCCTCAGAGCAGCCACGGTGGGGAGGGCTGAGCCGGCAGGTCGGGACAGAGGCTGAGCGTGGTTTGCAGCCTGGGTGAGGGGCAGCTGCCACCACTGCATCATGCCTTGGGCACTGGAAGACCAAGACACAGGAGTGCAGGGGCGGTGTGGCTGTTGGGGCATCCTGCCCTTTGCCAGAGGCAGCCCATGAGGGGTGGGAATCCCAGCCCCTTTGGGAATGGTCCATTTCCCTCATTTTTTAGGTGCAGACCTGGGTTCAAGAGTTCTCCCCAGACCGGGTGGATTCTGTCTGGAAGGTGAGGGGCCCAGGCACTCATCCCAGCGGCCGTGAGTTTCCTTTCTCTTTGTAAGAGAACTTGGGCTGGCTTACCTACCCTGTAAAGAGAGGTGTCTGTGGTTCCAAAGTACCTGCAATGTCACTATTATTGTCTTACGTGAGGGTGATTCTCACTTCCCAAAAGTGAAAACTTAAATCTAAAAAAAAAAAAAAATCAAACACCCCTGCCCCCGCCCCCCAAAAAAAAGAAAGAAGAAAAGAAACAGCTCTAGTCCATGTTACGTGCCATGCTATGTGATCCTGGGCGGGCAGCTCCCTCCTCTGTCAAGATGGAAGAGACCCATCATTCTGTGCAAAAGGTCCGGGCGTGAACACCAGGGTGGGTGGGGGGCCACAGGCCGCCTGTGCCATTGCTTCAGGAGCACAGGCCCCAGTGCCCCAGCATGCTCAGCCCCATGAGACCCGGGGCTCCTACACTCGGAGATCGGGCCCCACTGTCGGGACTTAGGCTAGAGTTAGGAGGCCTTGTGGGTGAGGGGATCTTTGGGGCCCAGGAAGCTGTTCCCGGCCCTTGGGATCAGACATTCTTGGAGCACACTCAGCACTGCCAGACAGCAGGAGCCAGGGCCCCACCTATTCCCCTGAGGACCCTCCACCCTACACAGCTGGAGTACCTGGAGGGCCGTGGCGGACCTCAGAGTCCTTTCTGCCTGAGGTCCAGCCCTCCCTAGGGCCTGGAGGCCTCACAACCAGCCACAGGAACGCGGGTCCAGTGCGAGGCAAGAGGGGGTGGTGGCACCAAAGGGCAGAGGGGGTCTGCAGCACTTCCAGGGGAGACGGTGAGGGCAGTTCCCAGCGAGGCCTGGAGCAGTCCACAGCCCCAGGGCTGGGGTCAGATACAAACACGCTGATGCTGTCCTGACAAGTGGCGTCTCTCTCCAGGGCTCAGTCCAGGTCTGTCGGGAGACAGGCTCAGACTTCTCCCCCAACCCTGGCTCTTAGGCAACAAGGGCACCTGCGGGGCGGGACGTCCCCTGGGCACAGTTGGAGTCAGGCTCAGGGTCCTGGGGGAGGCTCTGCTCAGACACTCCGGGGATGCTTCCAGCAACCAGCAGGTGCCCAGGGTAAGTGGCCTGACGACACACGCAGCACTGGCGGACAGAGCAGGTGCGCCGCAGCCTCCTAGGGTCCCCTGGGGCTTTGTCCCATAGGCCAAGGCTGCAGTTCCACATCTGGGCCCCAGTGGTGGGAGCCTGGGCCAGGGACACCTGAGTGGGCCCAGCAGGGTCGGGGCAGGGTGGGGTCTGAGGGCCTGGGGACACCAGGCTCCTGCTGTCAGCTGTCCAAGTAGACAAAGAGGATGTCCTCGTCTGTGCCGTAGCTGGTTCTGGCCTCCTCGAAGTTACTGATGCTGGTGCTGCACATTCCTGCTGGGGGCAGGAGGGGCAGAGCAAGGTTGGCAGGTGGGGGGAGCACCCCCCTTGCTGGCACCCAGGGGAGCTGAGGGAGGTCTGACCATGTCCTGCCTTCCTGGCCACCTCTTGCCACTCGAGTCTTTCACCCTCAGGAAGCCCTCCTTGACTATTTCGGCCTTCGTGAGCTCCTTCTCTGACCCCTCCCCAGGTTAGCAGATGGAAAGTGAGGCCCAGAGAAGGGAAGAAACATCTTGAGGCCATGTGGGTAAGTCTGTGTGAGTCAGGGCTGTCTTTCCCCATCCCCAGGGCAGTGGGGAGCCCCGGATGGGTCTGGAGCAGGGGCTGGGGCTGGGCAGACTTTCCTTTCTGATGAGCATACTGGCTGTCCTGGGAGGGCCAGAGTCGTGGAGGAGGGAGGCAACTGCAGCCTGGGCAGCATGAGGCAGAGGCTGAGGTGGAGGTGGGGCCCTGGGTAGTGGCAATGTGGGAGGGAGATGGCCTGGCCTGGTGATGACTGGAGTATGGAGGAGGCCAGCATGGCCCCAGGTCTGTGGCTGGTTTGCTGCATGGCCAGAGGGGTGACACGGATGACAGGAGCCCAGGAAGAGCAGGGGCTCTGGGGAGAAGGCCATGAGGGAGGTCTTGGCCACACCAGATTGATTTGGAAGGAGTCATGGGGGCGGGCATAACAGACCTGAAAGCAGCTCCACCCGCTGTCCCCACCCTTGACACTCACGGTCTGCGTAGGCTGGGTTGTTGTAGAAGATGCAGCTGGTGGCCCGGTTGTAGCCACGCAGCACGATGAAGTGGCCCTGGTAGTCAGGGGTGCGGCAGAAGCAGTGGTGGCCACTGGGGGCAAAGCAGCAGTACTTGACGGGGCTGGAGCAGAGGTCACAGTGCAGCACCCCTGAGTTCACCAGCACAATGGCCACGTGGCCCTGGGCCAGGTGCTCCTGGATGTCCTGCACACTCACGGCGCTGTGGGTGGAAAGAGGGTCAGCTGGTGCTGCTGGGCCCCATTCCCCATCTCTCAAGTGGAACCCTGCTTGGACCCCTGTTCTGCTCTATGTCACAAAGCTTAGGGACATGGCTCTTCTTCCCTCTGCCCTGAGCTCCTTGCAGGCAGGGACATTCTGCTTTGTCACTGTGACCCAGGCCAAGCACAGGACCGGGGGGGTGGCTCTGAGTGTGCCCGAGGGCAAGCTGGCCCCGTCAGGCCCTTCCCAGGATGGCAGGAGGTTAGCTCCAGACAGGCACCTGTCAAAGGCCACTGGAGCACCCCAAGGGACCCCACCTCCCAGCTTGGTTAGTGAATTTTTTCAGCAGAGCGCCCCTCCTTGGTCCTTTACCCTAATCATGTGTGGTTTACGTTGGAAACTGTCAGTTTAACTTAATTTCCAAAATCTGAGCCAAGCAGGGCTTCACCAGTTTAAAAACAAAATGCTTCTCTGAAAGGGCTATTTTTCTTTTTTCCTAAGGCTCCTTGTGGCAGAGGGGGTTGCCTGAGAAAGGCTGGTTGGCAGTGCTTCCAGGGGGACACTCAGTTCCCCAGAGCCAGCTGCTCCTGAGGCAGACTCTTAGGCCCTGCCCCATTCGATGCCCCACAGAAGGCAGCACATCCAAATAAGAACCCAGAAAAAGAAAAGGCCTGGGAGTGGGGGCATCCTTCAGGCTGGGGCTCCACCATTTTTGCTGGGGGGGATGCTCACCCACTTAGGCCCTCCTTCCTTAGCAATCTCCTCAGGAATGGCGGCGTTAGCACTACGTGGCCTGGCTCAACCCCAGCCCAGGCCCTTGTCATGTGGCAGTCTGGTTTGCGGCCTGTGCTGGGAAAACATGCCATTTTTCCATTTGGCCTTTGAAATGAAATAGCTGGCTGAGTTCCCAATGGTATGTACAAGAGTGAGATTTCAGCCACAGGAAAAAAGCAGGGGCTGAGCTGGAAGGAAAAGCAGCGGGCTTCACGGAATAACTGGGTGTGGAAGTGTCGGGTTCAGATCACAGCACAGCCAAGTTGTTGGTGGTGACTGCAGGCAGCTCGCACTGTTCTTCCCATCCTCATTTTCCTCACCTTAGGAATGGGGACAGCACCTATCAAGTGCCACTGCATAAACACACGCTGCCTTTCCTTCCAACATGTACTCAAGCGGCCGAGGAACGTGTGGAGGCTCTTCCTCCGTTTTCCAAGTTGCCTACTGTGCGGCTACACTACGTTAATAACGAAACAGCAATCTGTAAAGGACACGGAGACCTGAGGAGAGTGGTCCAGGGGAGCCTGGCCGTGGTCTGAGCCAGCAACCTTGAGCAGGGTGTCCACAGTGAGCCCCGAGAAGAAAGTCGCTCGCGTCTGGGCAAGTTACTCCCAGGGTTTGCCTGAATCCTGCCCCCACATCTAGATGAGAGGGGAGAGACCCACATAGGGTCACAGCAGCCCGTGGGGAGATCTGGGAGCCAGGCCTTCCTACACAGCCCACACAGGAGCTGTCCTGTCACCCTCTATCACCCTGCTGGCACGTTCCTCAGGCCGTCGCCCCTTCATTAGGGTTCCTGTGTTCCGCTCACCAATCTGTGAGCAGCCTGAGGGCTGGCTAGAGTCTGTTTTGCTCACCTGTCCCTCCAGCCCTGCTCAAGCTCTACCCCAGGCCAGAGTTTTGTGTATCGTAGGTCAATAGCCCTACTTGTCCCCATTTTATGGATGGAAAAACTAAGGCTCGAAGGGGGAGAGGGGAACAAGTCAGTGCCACAGCCACCTGGGTAGGAAACCCAATTCTACCTGACCTCCGGGTCCCTAGCCTTTCCTGTGTGCCATCCTGCAAGTCTGCGGGTGAGCAGGTGAGCAAGGAAGGGTGGGGGGAGGCTCACCATTTCTCCACCAGCACCTTGCAGGCCTTGGCTTGTGCAAACAGCTGGTTTACCCGGGTCTCCTCTGTGTCAAAGTGCTTTCTGTAGAAGGACTGAAAAGAGAAGGAAGGGCAGTTGGAGGGGCCACCCATCCTCACCCGATCTGGACGAAGTAAACAGCACGTTATGGAGTTAGAGACGGTGGGAGAGCAGAGGAGCCTGGCCTGCCTGGGGAGCTGACACATATAGCATGCCTGAGCAGAAAGCTGTCTGTGGCGAGCTGGCAGGGTGGCTGACTGGAGTGCAACGGACCACCCAGGGGCACAAGGAGGACGCTCAGGAGATGGGGGGGCCGCCTGGCTCGGGTGGGCACCCTGAGGAAGCTTAGTCACCCCTGGGCTTGTGCACACCCGAGGGCGCGAGCAGGAGTCTGCAGTCAACGAGCAAAGTGAGGGCTGAGCCCATCTGACACTTCGCCCCCATCCGGCTCTGCCAAGCGAGGTCTGTGGAACATACTTTGTCTGGTGCAGGGGCCTTAAGAGGGCCAGGGCCCCCGTGGGGGAGGCAGGTGACCCTGTTCTTGGGCCCTTTTCTCTGCCCCGAAGCCATGGTGACCAAGCCAAACCCATGAGCCTTCTTCCCATGGCCTAGAAGGTTTGCAGGAGAGTTAGGTTGACCAGCACTGGCCACCATGTGACAACCCTCTTGCCAAAAAGGCCATGGCGACCCTGCTCTGTCAAGTTTCAGAGCCCAGGCCGAGATCTGCCTCCGAGGCTGACAAGACCAGCCCTAGCTGTGCGGGGAGAGAAAACGCACTGGTGTATCAGCAAGGCGATGCTGGCATTCTTTTTCAAAAGAAAAGAAAAAAAAAAGGAAAGACAGCATTTTGGTTTTTCTTCCAGAATACCAATTACCCAGCTTGGAGCCAGCTGTCCCCCTGAGAAGGAAGAAAATGGGCAAATGATGGCCAGACGAGGTCAAAGTGATATGCTCTGAAGCTGTGCTGAGGGACAGCAGGGAAAGATGCAGGAAGGTGGCCTGAGATGCTCCTCCGCACGTCCTCAACTGCGGTAAGAGGCAGGAAAAGAGGTCTCTGGGCTGGGGGTGCCGGGAGGGACCCAGCTTGCAGCTCAGATCCTCTGGGGAGGCTGGACCTCAAGGTCACCTGGTCCGACCGGCTCCCAGATCCTGCCCATAGCAGTTCTGATGCTGCTCCCTGGTCTCCGCACACCTGTGTGTCTACTTGGGTCTCGACCGCACCCTCTTCCAATGAGTGGACCTGGTGAAGGCTCGGCGGCCAGCCACTCACCTGGTTTTTGTAGCCTTTGTCAACGCCCAGGGTCTGGGTACAGAAGCGGTGCCTCACGCCAAAGTGGCGCATCAGGTAGGCCAGGTCGATGGTCCAAATGCTCCTGGTCAGCCGCAGCTCCTGCAGGGCACTCTCGAACTCACTGTCGTCCAGCTGGCCCAGGTACCTGTGGGCAGACAGGCTGCTAAGGTTGGCTCGCCCTAGAGAGGCAGCTGGTCCGGGTCACCCTCCACCCGTGGGCCCGTCAGCCACTGTCAGAGCTCCTGCTCCCTGGAAGTCTCTGTCCTTTGTCATGAAACCCTATGTCCTGCTGGGGCACAACCTGAGGCTGCCTGGGGTGCATGCTGACCTCGGAGTCAAGGGCCGAGATTTTGCTTCTCAAGTCTCTTGCAGGCTGTGTGACTTTGGGCAAGTTGCCGACCCTCTCTGGCCTCACTAGCTTTGTTTCTAGGATGAGGTGCTTGGACTACATCAGTGGTTTTCTAAGTTTTAGGCACAGAACCCTTTTGTTAAACCTTTTCTTGCCTGGAATTCCAGGATGTAAAACGGGTAAGGGAGAAGCTGCCCTGGGGTTCCAGGCGGCAGCCTGAAAACTCTCCTACAAGGAGATGCCTATGGTCCCTCCAGGCTCTGATGGTCAAGACTCCTGGGATGTTCATGCAGCCTCAGCTTAGCAGTTAGCTCCCCAGTGACCCAGTCTCCCAGGAGCCCGAGGCCAGAAGGGTGAGGGCCCCCTGTCCCATCATGGACTCAGTCTGTGGGCCAGGCCTGGGCACCCGGGACTTCCCCAGCTATCCCCTCAGGTAATCCCAGAGTGGAGACTGGAAGGCCTGGTCCACTTCTTGCTTATGCACATGGGACCAAGCCTGGATGGAAGCTGAACCTCCCACAAGCCCCAACTAACGACAGCCACGCGGATGATGAATCCCACCCAGGTCTCTCCCTGCGTCTTCCCCAAGCCAGAGTAGGTGGTGTGGATGGGGAGGGCCTAGGCCTACCCACTCACCGCAGCACCATCCTGGAGCAGGCCAGGCCGCAGTCCCAGTGGTACAGCTGCTGGATGATGGGCACCGGCAGCTGCACAAAATCCCCTGCATGGAAACATGAGGAGGTCACAGGTCCTTGGCATAGTGCCCGCCACTGCCACCCCCATTGCAGCCACCATCTTTGGCTCCTGCCCAGATCCTGCAGGGGCTGTTCAGGGGCCAGCCCATAGCTTTTCGGGTTCCCCAATCCTTTCTCCTTATAACAGCAGTGATCTCCCGAAAACACCAGTCAGAATAGCTCAGCCTGACTCAAAATCCTCTAATAGGTTGGTTCCCATATCTCTTAGGACAATGCCTTCATGGCTGCTGCCCCAGCGCCCTCTGCTTCCTTGCCTCCCCTCATCCTCGCCAGGTTGCCCTCCAGGCAGAACCTTCACCTGCTGTGATCCTTTATGCCTCTGGGCCTTTGCACGCCTGCTCCCTCTGCCTCAACTCTCCTGGCACCCCAGGTGCCTGAGCTAACTCCTGTCTTCGGAGGCCACTTCATGTCGCTGCCCAACCCGCTCAGCCCCCGGCTATGTGCACACTCAGAGCCCCCTTTTTGGTAGGAGCTCCAAGGAGGTGGGATAGGGCCAGCACATGGGGGGCGCTCAGCAGATATTCATGTCTGAATTCATGGCCCCTGGAGGTTTGCCTGACGCCAAAGTCCCCAGGATCAACAATACGTGAAGACCACGGTGAGGAGGAGGGGACTGTCATGTAATCTGTGGATGTGGAACACTATCCTGGGCAGCCTCTCAGTCTGCCCTTGCCAAGCAGTGAGGCGGAGCAGAAAAAGCTGGACCTAGGCCTTCTAGCCCTGGCTCTGCCACTGGCTGGCTGTGCGCTCAGCAGCTGACTTCTTCTTGCTAGACTGAGTCTCGCCGTCTCTAAAATGAGGGACTTTGGTCTGATTCAGCCATTCGATCAACAAATATTTCCCAAGAGCCTGGCACGTGAGCTGGAGGTACAGTGGTGAGTGACATAGACGTGCCTGTCCCGGTGGACAGCAAAAACAAGCAAGTGTAAGAGCAAAATAGGGGGCTAGGCTAGGGAAAAGGGTGGGGTGGCCTTAGAGAGGTGAGTCACGGAGCACAAGGCAGAGGGGAACAGCATGTGCTGAGGCCCTGAGGTGGGGGCGAGCTGGCAAGCGGCCTACAAGACCCTCCTACTCTAGGATCCCATGAATGTGGGCAAAGTTCAGAGTTTAAAGAACTGGGAGGGACTTCTCTTTGGCTGTCACCACTCATTGCTCATTCATGACACCCATTCAGCACATAAAAACCCAGCCCACACCCACGTTGTTTCTTCATCTCAGGGGTCTCCAGGGCCTCTCTTGAACCCACGACCAGCTTGTACAGAGCTGCCCCAGGAGCCCGCCTGCCAGGCCAGCCCCGGCTCCCACCACATGCACCAACCAGAAGGGCACTCATGAGCCCTGAGTCCAGCCTGGCCTTTCGACCCAGCGGCCGTGTGTGGGCAGTCTTTTGCCTGGAGTGGGTTCCAAGCTCCTACTCTGCTGCCTAAACCCTCCCCAGCCTTCGAGGCCTGGCTCAGATGCCAGCACTTCTGGGGCCTTCCCTGACGCAGGCTGGCCACGCCCCTTCTTTCATCTGCCTTCCACCAGACTTAGCAAAAGTAACAAAATAAAATAAAATCAAGCTACTCTCCCCCCTAGACTATAAGCTTCTGGAGGGCAGAGAATCTGCTAATCTTGTTCACACTGTGGCTCACAGACGGGGACTCTGGTCTGTGCCCTGCTGGGCTGCTGTATGTTCCCAGGAGGCAGGGGCTGTGACTGCTCCTTCGCTGCATTCGCTGCATTGTACTGACCTCCCTCCCTCCACTCCTCACCTCTAAGAGTATGCAGCGGGGCCCGTGGAAGGCAGGATGGCATGCCAAGTGCAGGCCACCCACTGGCTGAGTCACCTGAGGAGGTACCCGCCCTCTGTGCCTGCTTCCTCCTCTGTGAAATGGACCATCACAGACGCCAGGCTGCAGGGTGCTATGAGACTGAGGGCAGGGATGTATGTGAAGCCCGTCGCAGGTGCTGACATGAACCCCGCCCTCCAACCAGCTGGGGCCTGGCCAGGCTGAGGCTTTGTTAACTCTTCCAGGCCTCAGGAGCCTCTAAAAGGAACCTGGGTCGTCATTCAAGGCCTTCGAATACTCACCTCCTCCTATACGCCTCTTCCCACTGCCACAGACTCAGTCCTGAGGGCTCACTGCTGCCTGACTTCTGCCTGTCCTCTGCCCCAAATTCCACCCCCAGGCCCTTTCCTGTTTTTGTACACAGCAGCCAGAGGAATCCTATCCAGTTTCCCATTGCTCTTAGGATAAAGTTCTCGAACCCCACACCATGGCCTGCAGGGCCCAGCCCCACTTGGGCCCCACCAGCCTCATCATGGCCCTTACCCCTCACTCACTGTGTTCCAGTTACCCTGGGAACACATCAACCTTCATTCCACCCCAGGGCCTTTGCATGTGCAGCTCTGTCTGGAACTCTCTTTCCCTTGCAATTCTCAAGGCTGCCCCTTTTTGCCATTCAGGACCTAGCTCAAAGTCTCCTCCTCTGAGAGGCTTTTTCTGACTATGCCTTCAGGGGAAGGGGGCCGTCCTTCACAGCATCCTGTTTGATTCCTTCACAGCACTTAGCAAAAGTAACAAAATAAAATAAAATCAAGCTACTCTCCCCCCTAGACTATAAGCTTCTGGAGGGCAGAGAATCTGCTAATCTTGTTCACTGTTATTGCCAGTGCCTAGTGTCTGATGCTTAGTAGTAACTCAATAAACATTTGAATAAGAAGTGAACTTATTAAGCACCCACTGTCTGCTAGTCTCTGGGGACACTGAAAGTGACTAAAATCCAAGCTTTGCCCTCCAGGGATTCATATTCTAAAATAATCCCCCCCAATGGGGTGAGTGGAGGGAGAGCTCTAGGCAGGGTGCTGTCCCCTCATGCTGGGGTGCCCCCCTTTTCAGGAAGCCTTCACTGTGGCCACACACTGCCCTTTTCGTTTTTCTCTACACCGCTTTTACTCTCGCATATCCCTTAGTCACACTGTTATCTGCCATCTTCTTAATGTCCAAATGCTCTGGTCTCTCTTCCTTCCTGACCCCTCAGTATGGAGTATTGTGGTGGTGTCTGCCTTCCCCACTGGACAGACTGAGAATTCCTCAGGGGCAGGCAAGGACAGGCTTGCATCTGCCTCTCCCAGCCCATGGCCTGGAGCAGGCACTCAGACACACTTGGTGAATGGAAGGTCTTATCCCTTGAGATGCTCGGGCCCACCTGTCACGGCAATGCCTCCCCCCGACCCCACCAGGCTTCCAGACTACGGGCCTCTGTTCACAGCTCCCTCTTACTGTGTGGCCTGGGCTGTGGCACCAGCTGGCTGGGCCATCTCTGGCCAGGCTTTGACTGTCTGTGCCTTCCCCTATGTCCAGCTGTAAATGTGGCATGGGACAGCTGCTCGGTAGGGTCCTCAGGAACTCCACTGTCCCTCCTCTTATTGCCCTGATCCCTAAAACTCCGTGTTCCTGAGGCCCGGCAGGGCTAAACATCCCCATGTGGCCATGCCCAGTCTCGGCAAGGGCAGGCCAGCTCATAGGGACTCAGAGATACTCCTGTGGGGAGTGATAAGGGTAGGCGAGGCCTTCCATGCCGAAAGCTGCTGACAGATGTTGCTGCTTGGAGCCAAAGGACTGTCTCACCTGAGAGCTAGGGTCTGCCTGGAAGGCCCTGGCCTGGCTTCAGTTGGCAGCTGTCGCCAAGGAAGGAAGGCGCTCACTGGCCCTGAATACTTAACCCCTCAGCCTCCGTCTGCTCATCTGCAAAAGTGCAAATAACGATGGGAACCTACTTGACCGGGTTGTTACAAGGATTAATGAGGCACTGCATGTAAACAACTTAACACGCCTGCCCATAGAAGGCTCCCTAGGAACGGGAGCCATTATTCCACAGGGGCTCAGGAAAGGCAAGCGCCTGGTCTAAGATCCCAGAGTTGGAGGAGTAGGGATGCCAATCCCAGGACAGCATCAGACCCCACTCCTTGCTGCAATCACAAAAGACACCACTCCTTAGGTGTGACACCATGGTCCCACTGATGGCTTAGGGTGGGGTCGCACACGTTGGCGCCTCATTTTAGAGTTTACTAGCTTTAAAGTTTACTTTCTCTTTCTCATCAACTCTAAGCCTTAAGCAGAGCAGGAATCACTACTTTTCCCCTCCCCCACTTAGAAAAGCAGACTGTGGCCCACGCACTGAATGTCAGTCGTGGTTTCCGCCCCAAAGGAACTCAGATCACCTTGGGGCAGAAGGAACCAGAGGGTGAAGACTGTAGCAAGACGAAACGCTAAGCAGAGGAGGACAGGGGAAGGGGCCCTCCGATTGCTCTGTGCTCTCGGCCAGTTCCCTGTCCTTCTAGGCCTCAGTTCTCCCACAGTTCCCCGAGGGGACAGGATCTACCAAGGCGGCTCCAGCAGGACTTGTCACTTCTGGGGAAGGTGGCGCCCCTGGCTCACAATCAGGACCCTCCCACCAAGACCGCCAGGGTCCCAACCCTGGGAGTATCAGGAAACACCAACTGAGCGGGGCTGGGGAGGGGGGCCCAAGGCGGGAGCAGACACCTGGCCAGGTTTCACTCAAAGCTCCACAGCACGGCCCGAGGCGGCGGTCGGCCCAAGGTCGCGCAGCCGGACCCTGCTCTGAGCTAGGGCGGGGTCTCCTCGTTCCCAGGGGTGAGGGCTGGGCCCTTGGGGAGGCACTGACCCGGCTCGAGCGGCGCCCCCGCTGCCTCCGCCTCCGTCCTCATGACCCGGGCGGCGCGGGGCGCCCATGGCCCCAGCCCGGTGCCGGCTGCAGCTTCGGCTTCGGCTGGGACGCGAGCGGGGCCAGTGTGTGTCTTGTTCCTCCGCCGCCACCGCCACCGCGGCGGGGAGAACGGGAGGCGGCGGCTTGGCCGCCCCCAGCCCCGCCCCGGCCCTTCCAGGCCTGGCGTCCGGGCCCCGCCCCTTCGCTAAGCCCCGCCCCTTCCCTGGGCCTCGGGGTATGGGGGCCCCTCCCCTTCCATTTCCCCGACTCTATTCCTAGAGGCCCCCGGCCTCCAGCTCTAAGCCCGCCCCGCCAGTCGCCGTCTCGGCTGCTGGTGGCCCCGCCCCTTTCCTAGTCCTCGCGCCGACGCGGAGGCCCTTCTCCACCTCCGTTCCCCGGAAGCGCCGCCCCCAGCCCTGGCGTTCCGCGGCCATTGGCTCCCCAGAGGCTCTTTCCTTAGCAAGCTCCGCCCCTGCCCCGCCCCAACCTCGGATCTAAGGCCTGGTCCTGCCCCAAACGCCGCGGGCCGCCAGGAGACCGCGACTCTGGTCCCGCCCCCGCTCTACTCCATACCTCAGTTTCCCTATTCGTACGGTGAGATACCTCGCCTCACTCAGGACGCCCCGTACCTGGCGGGGCCGCCTTCCAAATGTTAAATTGTGAGGGGAGGTCCTGGCCCTCGGTCCACCGCCTGCCGCCCCCAGTTCGAGGGCGCGCGCTCCAGATCCCCGCCTTGCAGTGCAGCCTGTCCCTCGTGTGGGGTACTAGGAAGCGCGAGCCCTCCTCTCCCCTTGCCGCCCCAGGGGTCGGTGTTTCCGCCGGTACCTAGACCGCGTCTTCAGCCCTCTTTTCCGGGGCCGGAACTATCGTACCAGAGCCCACGTTTCCCAGCCGGCTGGGTGAGGACGCAGGGGAGGCGAGACCGCGCTCACCGCTAGGAAAAGGAAGGGGCGGGCCCTGCACGGGGCATTTTGGGAACGCGTGGTATTCTGGGAGCCCGGCGCCCCGCCATTCGCTTGTCCCGCGTCTTGGCGTTGTCGCCTGAGTCTCCGCCGCCCCAGAAAGGAAGAGGAGGCCGGAGCCGGTGAGGAGAGGCCGGGGGCGGGCGAGGGTAGGTCGAGGCACCGTGAGGGGTCGGGGGCTGGAGAAGGACGCGCTGCCGACGAGCTCTGCGGCGCTCGGGGAGAGAGAAGAGCGGGAAGCCCGGGCCACGCAGTAATCTGCGTCGCCTCGCTACCGTCTGGAAGTGAGTTCATTAGCTTTTCCGCAAAGTACCTGCTCTTCACTTTCTGTACGTCTGCAGGCCAGTGTTTTTCGAAGCGTCCAGGCAGTAGTCTTGAAGTCATTTCTGGCTGATTGCCTCCTTCAAGTCCTAGCTGGGTAATCCTTTTCAAAGTTCTTTGCATCTCTGCCTCCATCCCCCTTTCAGGCACTGGTCCTCTCGTGCTTTCAACACTGTCACAGAAGTTTTATGAAGTTTCCCTGCTTCTAAACCGTGCTCAATCCATTTTGTAAGTGCTGCTGCCTTTTCTTTGGAGCATTCCTTACCTATAGTTCTGCAGTGGTCCCTCTGCCTTCAGTATAAAATCCAGACTCCTAAGGCTCCTCCCCAAGGGAGCCTCTCTTTCCCAACCTCGTGTTCCCTTTTCTCTCTTGACCACAAATGTTGTGTTTTAACCTTTTGTCGTTGCTCATCTTGGAATAAAAAGTCCACTACTTGTTTTTTCTAATAAGGTCAATTCAGGTACTTGTCCTGATTACGTTTTCCCTGCTTATAGCACATTGTCACTTCGTGAATGCTTTGATATTTTCTCTTTAGCCTTGATGGTGAAGTGGAGGGTCAAAGAGCACTTAATGGGTTGAATTAAATTCACAACCTCTTCTCCAAGATTTGCCTAGATCCTTTGGCCTATATGTGTGCTGCCCGATTCAGTATCATGTGGCTAGTGTGACTGAGGGACTGAATTTTTTATTTTATTTCATTTTAATTGAGTTTAAATAGCTACATGTGGACAGTGGCTACTGTATTGCACAGTTCAGATCTGTATCATGGGTTCTCAAAGTGGTGTTTACCGCAACTGTGGGTTGACAGATACGTTGTATGGCACATGTATTCCATGTGGTAGCAGGGAGGGAGATGGGAAGCACTTTCTTTTCATTCCCAGCCCCCACGTCTTGCATGTGTCTGCCAGATAGGTTCTTCAAGCGAGGAGTTAAGTTCCTTTCTTCTGTAGAAAATGCAGCTTTGGCATTTTTACTGAGTTTTATGGAGCGTCAGGCCTTGAAGGAGGCATGGTGTGTACCACATGCCTTCTCAGGCTCTGAAAGATGAACTAACTGTTGTCTCTCTCACTGTAGAACTCTCTTCCTGCCAAGATGTCTATTGGTGTGCCAATCAAAGTCCTACACGAGGCCGAGGGCCACATTGTGACATGTGAGACAAACACCGGTGAGGTGTATCGTGGGAAGCTCATTGAAGCGGAGGACAACATGAACTGCCAGGTATCCTGCTTTGCACGTGAGGCTGGGGGGAAGGTTGGGCCTCCGTCTTGGACAGAAAGTTGGTGATTGGAGGCCTTTTTGAAGTTGTTCCCCTTCAGCAGTTACTTGGTGAGAGTGCCTGATGTGTGCCAGGCGCTGTTATAGGTGATGGGGATGTGGGCATAAATAAGAGCCATTTGGAATATTTAACTTTGTTTTCTCCATCCCATAATCATTTTCTCCCATATTTTGGAGACCTGTTGGAGAAAATGGCTCTTCTCCTTCCATCAGGTTCAGGGCTGTTATCCTTTTGCCCCCACGTGTTTTATTGCACAATGCTTGGCATTTAGCAGAATCTTACACTCACATACTATGTTTACTTGCCATTTTTCTTGGAGGAGGTGTCTCATTTGATTATAGCATCTATCTTGTGAGGTAAGCAGATTTGGTGATAGTTTTGTCACCTGCAAAGTAGGGAGAATGTGATTAATAGACTCATCTACTGAATGTCACTCTGCTAATAAATGTCGGAGCAGCTTCCTGATATGATGCCCTTTCCATGGTACTGTTTTGTTTGCCTTTTGCTAATAATCACGTGAATTTGTGTAGCATTGCTTCACAAAGTGTATCAGCACGCTTTCTCTTTTGTTCTTTAAACCATCACACGTGGGTTTGAATCCTAATTGTCTCGTCTTAACCATGTTAATCACCTCAGTTACCTTATCTGTAAAATGGGAGTGGTCTTATTTTGAGTCCTCCGAGATGTGAATGCCAAGGCAGAATTAGTTGTGCAAGAGATTTGTTGGAGGAACTGACAGTGAAGGAGAAGGAGCAGGAGTAGGCAGGAGAGCTTTCAGGCTAGGATGCTGGTCTGACACTCGTGAAAGGAGAAGGGAAAGGAAGGAGGATTGAGTAGGAAGAGCCTTACAGTGCAGTGTCTAAGAAAGCCTTGACCAGGGAAAGATTGCTCAGAAGAAGAGTCTAGCATGGGGCAGGAAGGGCCTGGCTCTGGTTCCCCTGCTGTGGTCAGTCATTGGCTGGCACCCTCGGGTGCAAGTGGCTTCAGGGTGAATGCTGTGGTGGATCCCGAAGGTGACAACTGGAAGCTGTTAGCTCCCTGCATTCCTCGTAGCCTATTGTCCCTGAAGGGAGATCTTAACAGTGTACTCCCAAGACTGCCACAGGGGTGAACCCACACCCCAGGACTGTTCTAACGATCAGATGAGTTATGTGTGTGCAGTAGCTAGCTCAGCACCTTGCACGTTATAAATGTCAATGTATGGTACCTGTTAGTATTTTCCAGGTGAGAAAACTGAAGGTCAGAGAGTTACCCAAGGTCACACTGTAGATCAGCTGTCCTAACTATCCATTATTCTCAGGGCTCATTCATTTATTTGTGACGTCCTGTCACTTGGAGCATCATCTTCCTGGCAGGTTGACCAGCTGGGACACCTCGCTGATATTTGGGGAGATAGACATCTGGTGACTGCAGATGTCTCTCCTCGGTGTTGATGCCATAGAGATGGGTGGTGTGGGCTCTCTAAAGGTGCTGGAGGATCCACGAGGTCCTCTAAAGGTGGGACATGACCTCCTTTGCCTTTGTGAGGTACCACTATCATAGGTCCAGTCCTCTGCCTTAAGGCATCCTCATTCTTTTTAAGGTACTTTAGTTTGGGGAGTAGAATGCAAGACAGAGGGTAGGAAATCGTGATGTGTTTATTCAGCTATTTGTTTGGACAACTTCCTGAGCTTCAAGGGCCTTAGACTTCCCATCTGTAATGTGAGGAGGGGATCTGACCAGATGACCCTGGTGGTCTCTCACATGCACACAGCCTGGTGATCGATCTGGAATCAGGTTGCAGCCTGCCGCCTAGTGTGACTTGGGGCAAGCTTTGGACCTCCCTCACCCTCTGTTCTCTCCTTTCTAAATCAGGAGTAAAAATAGCACCTCGGCCTCAGGACCATAGTGCAGAGTAAATGAGCGGACAGTTGTCACATGGTCGGGGCCAGCCCCTTGCCTCCCACCTGTGTTAATTCACTAGGGCTGCATAATGAAGCTCCACACTGGTGGCTTAAACAAGAGCAGTGTATTCTCAGGGTTCTGGAGGCTAGAGGCCAAGATCGAGGTATCACGGTTGGTTCTTCTGAGGGTCATGAAGAAAGGATCTGTTTCACACCTCTCTCCTTGGCTTGGAGGTGGCTGTCTTCTTCCTGTGTCTTCGCCTGGTCTTCCCTCTGTGTGTGTCTGTACCCTACTTTCTTCTCTTTTTTGTTTGACCACAGAATAAAGATCTACCTAAAAGTGACATGTAGCCTCCACCCTTAAGCACTGGGGAGGCCAGCTTCAGTTTCAGCATTCCTAACACAGAATCCTGTTTACACTCTGTCTTAACTGACACTTTATTTCAGTGTCCTAATCTCTTCTTATAAGGAAACAAGTCATGTTGGATTAGGGCCCGGTTCCCTCTGTAAAGATTCAGTCTCTAAATATGGTCACATTGTGAGGTACCGGGGGGGCGGGTTAAGACTTCAACATATGAATTTGGGCGTGAGGAGGGAGAACACACAGTTCAGCCCATAACACTGCCTGTGCCAAGATGCAGGGCTTCACCGGGTCTGCCTAAGCCTGGCAGGCACAGTCAGTAAGCCCAGCAGGCTGTGGCAGAGCTGAGCCCAGCGGCAGTGAGCACTGAGCTCAAGCCCACTCACGTCCTGCAGTGCCCTCTGCTCTCCGTCCTTCCTGGTCTATTAGTAGCTTTGGGGATGAGAGCATCCTCTTAGCCCTTTGCCTGCTTGTCCTGTGCTAGAAGGCAGCTGGAGTTTGTGTTTGCGATTCAATGTTGGGTTTTAATAACGTTTTTTATTATAAAAGTGGGGTTAGTCACACACCACAAAGATTTGGAAAACAGATGAGAGAATCCCACCACAATCACGATTGCATGGGTTTTTTCCTCTAGGAATGTATTTTGAGGTTTTAATGCTTACATTTTTTTCTGTCTCCTCTCAAAAAGAGTTGGAGATGGCTTACAAGAAATTATGTGGTAGGATAGAAATAGACGGGTAGGTCAAGGTGCAGGTAAGCCAGGTCGACAGTAAGATGAAGCCAGGCAGTTGGTAGCCAGAAATGTAAACCTGAGTCCCTGTACATTTAATAAAGGTACGTTCAGGTGTAAGCTCAGAACATTCTGCTCTAAGCTTCCTAGAGGCCAGGCAGAGGGAATCATCAGATCTGAGGTTCACAGTGTCCTTAAGATAAAATACCAGTTGTGTGGCTTGCCATGGCACTCAAATTTGACATTTTTTCCTGGGCCCTGATGAAGGAGATACTGCCTTATATTAGACAATGTCCTCATCAGTATCTCCATACAGAATACACCTTCTTTTTGGGTTCCTTGTGTATTTTTAATGGAGCCTATTTTGCCTTCTTTTGCCATTTGAAAATGTAATGGATGATCTGTTAACCCTAGGATGAGCTCCCTGAGGTGGTGTTCATTGGGTCAGAGGGTGCAGCTGCTTCTGGGCATCTGACGTTTTGCTGGTAAGGCTGGGAGGCTTGCTCTCCCACTCCCTGCACCCCACAGTTGCGAGGCAAGCATGGTCTGCAGGTGGCCAGGTGCTGCCAGATGTGGCATCTGCTATGGATGGTGGTGCCCCACACGTGCCGCTGTGAGCATCTCTTGAGAGCCCCTTTGTGTGGGGTGAGCGAGGCCTCTAGGGCTTTCCACATGATCCTTTTCAGCTGGTTTTCATTTGTAGCAGAGATGAGACTGATAGAGGAGTATATCCCATTTCTTGCCCAGCTCCAGTTACAGATAACTTAGAACCAGAAGCTCCCAAATGGGGAAATTTCTGTTCTTGGTTCTATGTACACAGCACAAGCTTGAAGTGTCTTGTCTTTATTAAATGTCAAGGAGGCAACTAAGGGTTTTTTTTTCAAGGTCAGAAAAAAATATTTCTTAAGAAAGAATCCTTCTAGTCATATATTTGGTAAAATATTAAAAACCATAAAAAGAGCTTTAAGGTAAGGAATAATGAGTAGAAATAAGCATATCAATTTTTTTTTTCCAATTTTTGTGAGGAAGATTGGCCCTAAGCTAACAACTGTGCCAGTCTTCCTCTGTTTTTATATGTGGGATGCTTGCCACATGGCTTGATAAGTGGTGCATAAGTCCACACCTGGGATCCGAACTGACGAACCCCAGGCTGCCAAAGTGGAGCCTGCTGAACTTAGCCACTACTCCATTGGGCCCACTCCCTTGGGGGAAGTTTTTATATAGCTGTGGATTTTATTAGGTCTCCAGTGTGGAGGGTCCCCAGAGGTTCCTTACCAGGTTCTTGGTGAATGCTAGACATGTTCTCCTGGCCTGGCTGTACTCAGTGTTCAGACATTTAAGACATCTCGTAATTTTTTTTACAATGAAAGTTTATTGTATTTAATTCATAAATCATTTTTACAAGTCAGGAGTGTTAATTTCCCAGAAAAAAGTGGACACAAGTCATAAAATGGGTAAATCACAGAAGAAAAATATATAAATGGGCACTTTACATGCAAAGATAAATAGCCTTATTAGTATGACATGCAAATTAGAAAAGAGTAAGAGTGTGTACACTTGCAAATTGGCAAAATAAAATTAGCAATGTTATCAAGGATTCCTTGCTACTCTGACAGTAGAAGTGTAAATTGTTACAGCCTTTCTGGAAACGTTTAACATAGTTGATGTGGAAGAGTTCATGCCCTTTGATGCCGTAGTTCTGCTAGAGACCAATCCGAAACTGTGGACGTGAGTGTATATGCAAGGGTGTCCATTGCAGTGCTGTTTTAGTAAAACAGTGCTGTTTTAAACCTGAGAACACCCAGCATTCCTAATGAGTTAAATAAATTATGATTAAACAAGTAAGGGTACATCATAAAGAATGTTTATCCAAAAATATAGCATAGAAGAATATTTAATATCATGCAAAAATGCTGTTGACATTAATGAAGAAAAAAGTTAAAAACTCCACAGTATGTTCCCAGTTTT